ATTTAAAAAAAAATTTTTTAAAAATATTAATTATTTATAAAAGTAAATCAGAAGAGAATTTATAGTAAATAAGCAGGTAAATTTGCCTACAATTTAAGGGATAATAGAAGATTATAATAAAAACAATGATTTTAAAGAAATAAAATTATTAATATAAAAGATAAAAAGGTATTTACAATAAAATCCTAATTATTGAAAACAGGCCCTTAAATAAACTTGAAGATGAATTAATTTTAAAGAATTTATTAGTAAGTATAAAAAGGGGTAATATTAGCCAGCAAAAAAAATGTTTATTATTATAATTATGAAAAAGATAATACAATAAAAATAATCCAACTAATTTAACATAAATAAGTAAATAAATTATAAAATATAACAAGCAAATTTTTAAACAATTTTTTTTAGAATTCCTTTAGAAAAAGTGGATTTTCTTTAGTTTGATGAAACAATTGAATTACAGAAAAAAATCATGTGTAACTTGTGAAGATGATTTATCAAAAAGAAGAAAATATGAATCTGAAGCTATTTCTACTTTATGTGAAACACACACTATACATGCTCCTATTGACCTTTGATTTAATTTATTGATTTGATTTCATTTGATTTGAAATTAGAGAGTTGACTATTAGAAATAATCTGGCAACTTTTCTTATCACATGTCTTTACTATCAACTTGAACAGTAATGTAATAAATAAAGATCTAATAAATCATTAAGCTATTTGTTTCATTTCTATAAATTGTTTATAAAGTTTACACGATAAGAGAATACGCATCAAATCTTGATGTTAATTTCAATATACCTAACCTTAAAGAATAAAATTTGAATGCGCGTAACAATCCAAGTATACTTGTATCGATCACATGTTTCAATCGTTTCATTTCTTATAGATTTAATTTATTTATTTATTTGTTTATTTTTTTAAAAAAAAAGCCCTTTCTTTAAATATGATGAATTTTTATTGAATATAAATAAAAGAATATTTATTTATAACGATGAAAGTAAAGTACTCCGGATCTACTGGTATCCACAGGCTTACCCCAAAGGTTAGCATGCTAAGCCCCATCCTCGCCCCCAACCTCGCATGGCAACATGCTTTACATAATACTCAACAAGAACAAAAACGATTAAGAAATGATTTACCTTTCATGTTACCTGAGATAACACCCAGTAAAAAAAAACACTTTACAACTTCGAGTTCTTTAATGTTCTATTGAATAAATTAGTTAAATAATCATATTTATTTCGAAGATTGAGGTTATAAACACATTTTTTACACGTTATTGATAACGATAATTAATGTTATGTCTGTCAAGTTATGTGGTAAGAATTTTTGGAAATGATAAAGTACATACTGTATATGATCATCGGCCAAAAAAAAAATTTAACCAAGTAATTCAATAAATTCACCAATCTCATGAATTTCTTTGCATTCAGTCAAATGTATAATTACCTTTCGCATACAATGTCATGTAATTTAAGAAAACGGAAAACACATTCACGAACCAACCGCCATTCAAAAAAGATATAAACAATAAATTGTTGAATAAATATTAAGATTTTTTTGTTGATAAATAAATAAGTAAATAAATCATGAAATATAAATTTGAAAAAAAAAATATAGATTAATTTTTTTTTTTGTAAAAATGCAAGATGTTTGAAAATGAAGATTAATTGTATCTAAATATTGTAAGAAATGGGATGCAGAGATAAATTACAAATGATTATCATACTTAAAATTCGTGATTTTACCTCATAAAAAATAAATAAATAAAATTAGATTAAATTTTATTAAACTTTAATTTCAAAACTTATTCCACATCTAAAAAAAAATAATCCAGAATCAAAAAAAATTAATTAAACCCTTGAATAAAAATTTGCTCATAAACTTTTTTTATAAGCCAACTTACCCACAACCAGATTCGGCTTGAGGATTATCTAAAACTTGAAATTGTGATCCCAGCAGTTCCTGCGTATAATCTATTTTTGATCCTTTGATCATCCTTAGAGAAATTTCATCTACAATTACTTTAACTCCATTATTCTCGAACACACTACAAGGGATAAAAAGAAAACGATTAATCTTTTAAAAAAAAAAAACTACAAAAGATCGAATTAAATCTTAAAATGTGAAATTATTACTAACACATCCTCATCTTTAATATTTTTTTGTTCCGTCAAATCATAACAATATTGAAATCCATGACAACCTCCAGAATCTACCGTTATTCTTAATGCATTATTAGAATTATTTTCCCGTTCCAAGATAGATTTGAGTTGCTACATCAATAATGAAAAAGATATATAATCATTAACAAGAATAAAAATGAAAAAAAAATTTTTTTTATCACAAAAAATCACATTCGCAGCCCGATCCGTGATTTCAATATGCATATCGTTCCCTTCATCATCTTTCTGTGGGGTTTTGTTTACCGTTGTACTATATGGTCTTGATATTGGGAAAGAGTAATTGTTTGATCGTGGTGTTAAGGGTAATTTACTTATTACTGGTTTACAACTAATTCTTGAATAATGGTTTCGGTGAATAGTGTATTTTAATAATAATGTGAAATGTGCTTCAAGTAAACGTGTGCAAATTAACATTTTACAAAGGAAAAAAAAACAGTAAAAACGGAAAAAAAGGGAAAAAAGAAAAAAAAATAAGACCAGTTAGGTATCATTAGATGATCAGCGATCGAATTTACTTGGACCTGATATATCACGTGATATAAGCTTTTTTTTTTAGGTTTGTCCATCATTCAACTAAATCACATTCAACAATTTTTTTTTTTTTTTTGAAATATTGATATATTATTAAATTACTGTAAACACCTAAAAAAAAAATCCCTCATTATATTCATTGATCAAAGGGGTTTGATTAACTTACATAATTGGATTATGCATGTAAAAGATCGAAAATTTTTTAATATTTCACAAAGAAGTTGTAAATAAATTGCAGTACAAAGACCATCCTTTGTCTAAAAAGTTAACGTGACCGGATATTTAGGAAATTATTTTAAAACAAATAAGTATAAAATTTAACAAATATTGATACGTTTGATGACATCAACCAATGGAAACCGGTTTTTACAATCTCGATACAAACAATAAACCACGCCACACCTAAAAACAATTTTCTTTTTAATAAAAAGTAATTTAGCTAGTGGAACCATATTTAAAAAGAACAGAACAAAAGATTTGAATGTGATTTATATTTTGTCCAACGATGAAAAATCGCGTTAATGATACAAAATAGTATGTTCAATAGGAATTGTTTTTTATTGCAACTTATTTTAAACAACTAATAATCAAAAGCGAGTTAACCATATAAGCAAAATTATGCCATGTGAATTTGACGCGTTTTTCAACCTTACAACCATATGGGCTTCACATAATAATTTGAAACATATAAATAATGGTTTGATCTCTTGAACTACAGGGTTCGAAGGTTTTGAACGAATCTCGTTTTAAGGTCATGATGATTTTATTGGTTCACTTCATACCATACCTTCAAATATTCCGTTGTAAACTGCAAAGCCCTGCATGTCATTGTTCTTTTTCTCGGAACATCTAAACTTATAAATTTTCTTTCTCTTAATACACAATAGGCTACCATATATGGTCAGATTTCTTTTTTACGTTCAAATGTTGTAGTGATTATTAGATTGGTTTAAACCAAATGAAACAAATAATGATAAAAAATTTTAAAGTTATCTTTGGTTTCTCCGAATGTAAATGCATGTGGCAAGTCCATCGAATAATCTCATATACTTAAATCAGAATTTACATCCGAAATTTATTTTTTTCATTGTATCTTTAAAATTCGAATACAATTATTTTATGAGAGTTTCAAATGGCAATTTTTTTGGACGATGATACAAGTCGATTAATGATGCGAATATGAAACATCTTTTCGTTTCCTTTTTAAACGAAAGGAAATGATTCTTTTTCAAGGTGCGTCCGAAAAAGTTCACTGGTCAATTATAATAATGATAAGAAATTGAAAAGAAAACCTTAATCTCGTACATATTTCATGTAATTCTATTGTTTCATAATTAATTATTTTTTTTATTAACATTCAAGTTTTATTGGTGATAAAGCGGGAAATAATGAAGGATTTACAACTTACAAAAAATGTATGACTTATACAGGAACATTAATCTTGCTTGCATAAAAATCGTAATCGTTGTGTTTAAAATAAAAATAATGTCACAAAAAAAAATCCCCTTCAATCACCGGAATTAATATTTCATTTATCACATCATAAACAAAGGGAAATAAACAATCACACCAAAATATTAAATTGGTGGTATGATATACCTAATTTAAGAAAATTAAAAATTTTTTCTTTTGTTCGTTCGAATTTTCTTTTACCAAGGAATTCCATAAAAGAGTTCATGAATGAAAAATAATGCACATAGTAATAGGTTCATGCTATCCATTATTCATAACATTAATTAAAAATGATTGGTAAATTGTGAATCAAAAAAAATACCTTACTTCAAAGAAAAATAAGGTAAAATAATCGGATGTGACGTTTTTTTTTTTAGGGAAATGACGACGACGAAAGGAACAAAAATTTTTTCGATAACATATATTTTTTATAATATTCGGAAGATTTTGATTAGTCATCCTTTTTTCCGAAATAGACCGAATAATAAACCTTTTGATCCTTATTATGTGGCACAGCTTCGGCCAAATGAGATTTTTTTTTTTTTATACATTCCTACCATAAATCGCCGCCCCATACAATCGGAATTTCAATTGTCCATATCAAGCAATTAATACGTTGAATAACATTCCCATTCTATGAGGCTTTCTCAATAACAATATGTTCTCAAAAACAAAAACGTGAAAATTCCTTTTGTCAACCAGTGATAGATAAAATAAAATCGGATGATAAATAAAAATTATGTAAGTAACAAAAAAAATCACCTTTCCATGCTAAGCCTTCAACAAATAGCACGATCACTTCCATTTATATTTTTAGACCCATAATTCTCCGTACAGAATCGCGTAAAAGTTTATCCAACCCAATATTATTCATTGATCTATTGTAGAAAATAGATGTTTAGATCTAGATCATATGAAACTACCATTCCCCGACTCAGTATTTATTTATGATACTTTACAGTAAAATTAAATCAAAAAGTTCAGATATTTTTTAAGGAAGGGGAACAAATCGAATTGTTAGTTGTTATTTGTTTTATTTATCGTGTGAATAAATTATGCAAGACAACAATACATTAATTAGTCGATTGAAAAAGTGAATTTTAAATTTTCTTCCCATGGAACCGCAGCATCTCGCAAACCGTTGGGCGCAGTAATCGAAGGAGGATGACCCGTTTTTTTTTTTTTTTAAAAAAAAAGGAAACCAAAATTATATTAGCAAAGAAATAAAGTTTTCTTTCTTTTTATAAAAAGAAAGAAAAGATTTTCCACGTGTTCATAATTATCATCTATATTTGATTAGTTTAATTTTTAAGATATTTTGATTTTTTGTTTGTTATAACACTTTATCTGGTTAAAAAGATCTTTTTTTAATAAAAATCAAGGTTTTGAACTAAAAGAAACAAACATGTCAAATTATAAACATCTACTTTTTATAGTTATCATTTTTTTTTATTTTCCGATCATTCAAAATTTGTTTTTTAAAATAAATTTTATTTAACTCTCAAGAAAAACAAAACCAAATATATAATAAATGAAAAAAAGGAAAGAGAAAAAGAAAGAAAATGAAAAAACTTTTTACAAAAAGAAAGAAAGAAAAAATCTACAAATGAACAACTAATAAAAAAAATTTGATGAAGGAAAAGGGTGATATATAACGGATTACGGGTCATGAATAAAAAAATTTGTCTCTGCTCAAAATATGGCCCGCCTTTTTTAAAGATTTTTTTTTGTTTTATTAAAGTTTTTTAAAGAAAGGAATTAAAAAAGAAATTATAAAAAAAGAAATTATATATAAAAAAAATCTTAGAAAATCGTAAAAAGGAATGAAAAAAACATACAGAGCGTATATCGTGCGAGTTGAAAAGTTATACATCTAATTATTATTATTACTACTATTATAATGAGACGAACATAATGCTAGATATGTGGTGTTTTGTTGTTTTAATTAATTATTACCAAAACCGCATACACTGCCTTCTCCTTTTAAAGATTTTCGAGTATAAATATAAAAAAACTTACAAGAATTGAAATATAAAACAAGAACTTCTGACGCGTCACTATAAACATGCTTTTCCTTCGCCATCAGTTTTTAATTTTTCTTTTTTTCTAGGTGAAGGACAAAAAATAAATACCAGATGAATGTCAAACTACACCTCCTTTCGAATGAGGGGGAAAAAAATAAAAATCTAAACCGAAATAATTAAAGAATCAAATAATAAAAAAAAGGGGGCTATAGGATCTCGAAGAGGGAAAAGCTTTTTTTTTTTTTGTCGTTTTTTTGTCGTTTTTTTTTTTTTTTTTGAAAAATAAAATTGTCCGCCATATCCTATTATTTACTATATATTTCCTATCATCATATGCATAAAGATTTTTAATTGAGTTTAAAGAATTGCTTGCAGAAAAACAAGGGAATAAAAAAAATGATGATGATTTAAAAATTGTTCTTTTTTTTTTTTGGAGTTGAAAAATAAAAAATTTTGTTTTGAAATTTTTAAGGAAATTTTTTTTTATATTGATGGAAGAGATATGTTTATTCCAACGGGATTTTTTGCAGCAGCAGCTTCCGCAGCCTTTCGCTCTTCCTCCTCTCGTTTCTGTCGTCTCCACTGTTTGCGGAGTTCTTTGAATTCTATATATATAAAAGGGAAAGCATTAGGTAAGAGATGACGAACCCCAATCCATTTCGATTCCTATTTCAACAATGAAGACTTACCGGATGGGTGTCGTTTCTGTCCGTGCTTTTGCATCTGTACATGAGCGTTCAAGTGATTGAGAGTACCATAACTCTTTGTGCACCCGGGGAAGTTGCAAGCATAATGACGTTCAATCTCATCGTATCGTCGTCGAGGCCTCTTCTTTGTGTTTATGCCTGGTAGAGCAACGAATGAATATACTTTCTGTGGACGATCCCCTGCAGAATTCATATCATCATCTGTCCTGTAACCTTTACGACCGTTCAAAGCGCGATGTGAAGAAGCTAACATTCCACTATTATTCATGGATTGTGCGGCAGCCATAAAGTGGCTGTTGAGTAAAGCTTGGTGAGCAGCCGCCGGATGTTGGTAATTTAATGTCGCTCCCGGAACACCAGTGACAATCGGTGATCCCGTTGATGACCCAGCGCTCAAAGGTGATTGCTCAGAACCAACAGTCAAACCGGTATTGATTGCTAATATTGCATTGCTACCGCGTCTTGATGGATCTAACATGGCAGCGGTCTGAATGCTGGCTTGTTGTAAATCTGAAGCAGTTGGACCGAGTCTTGGTAATGTACGTGGATCCACAACAGGAATATTTGAAGCGATTTGGGACTGCTGACTTAAAGCGGCGGCCTGCTGTCCAAGCGATTGTTGTTGAGCTTGTGACATCAGGGAACCCTGTGGTGCTGAACCATAAGTCGCACCCTCGGTGGTGTATGAAGCGGCATCAGGATATTGCTGAATCGATTGAAAAAAACCATTCTGAGCTGCGGCAACAGCAACGGCGTTCGCGGCTTGTTGTTGTTGTTGTTGTTGCTGTTGCTGTTGCGTTTGCACTTGAACCACATGAGATTGAGTAGGTGATGGAGCTGTGGAATTTGAGGATTGACCAGAGAGCGTGGTGGTTTGTGGGAAAACTTCAGATAATGGAGGAAGGACTTTTAAACCACTATCTGGGGATAAAGTAGCAGATGACGTTGCACTTGAGGGGATCATGTGCGGAGAAGTTTGATTCTGTTGCACATCAAGAGACGATGCTTTGACATCTGGTTGAGAATTCATAGTACTTCCCGTGTTGGTTGATTGATCGTATCTATTATAATTCAATTGAGAATAACCGTTAGCTTCGAATCCAAAAGAACCGTCTGTCGGCGATTGTCTAGAAAAAGATGCAGCCGAGGACGTTCTTGAATGATTGGTGTTGGAAGTGTAAGTTATACTTTGATTTCCGTACACGAATGAAGGTTGTGATTGATATTGACTTGAAGCTGCAGTTTGATACATGGAGGAAGGGATATTTTGGGAAGGAATTTGAGAGAAATTACCGAGAGAGGTATTGGTTAAATCAAGATTATTCCTTGGAGAATTGAAACTATTTTGAAAATCGTTTGGAGTGGGTTGTAAACGGATCATTGAAGATGATGAGGAAATTATTATTTTTTTTTTTTAAAAAAAAAAAAGAAATTATTACTTTGTCGAAGGTAATTTTTTTAAAAAAGGTTGAGAGGATAAAATTTTTTAAAATTTTCAACCAACAGGGATTTTCTCAAAACCTTTTTAAATGAAAAAAAAAATAAAAAAGAATTTTCACACAAAAATTGACTAGAGGGGTCGTACGTGTGATTATTTAAATAATAAAAAACTCACTAGCTAATAACGAGAGAGTGAAATAAATAATAATAATGATATAATAATAATAACAGAATGGTATATTTTTCTTTTTTTGTTGTGAATAAAAAAAATTGATCAGAGGAAAGAAAAACGCGATTTTTTTATTTTTGATTCCTTCACAATTTCTGATTCGTTTTACTTGACCGTATGACGAAGTCGTATCGATTCGAGAGAGGGGTACGTATAAGAATGCTTCTTGAGTCACGAAATTTTTTTAAATCTTTCGAACGAAGTTTGTCGATCGTCGTTAAATATATTCCAAAGATTTTTTTTTTACTTTATATTAAAATGATATTGCTTGGATTGATATGATACCTTTTTTGTCTGTTTCGTTATCTACGAGTTATTGAACCCAAACAATTTAAATATTTTTGAAAAAAAAAAACGTTTCTTTGTTAGCCTTATTCTCCTTTAAGGTAGGGAAAAAATAAAAACTATATATTGTTTTTCTTTAATGTTTAAAGCAACCTGGCTGACGAAAGGAGGTTTTTATCATTAAAAAAAAACAAGCTAACGGTTTTTTTTTTGGTTTTTTTTTTGGTTTCGATTTTTTGAAGGGAAAAAAAAAAGAGAAATAATTTTGTGTTTATATAAATTTTTTTTTTTTTTTATAAAATATATACAATATATATATATTATTAAATAAATATATAGATATATATATAGATATAATATATAGTAAAAAAATAGGGGAAGAAAACGAAAAATTTGAACCGAAGAAGATATATTTATATAAATAAAAAATTTTTTTTAAAATAAAATAATAAAATAAAATATTATTATTGCATATTTAAAAAAAAAAGATAATTGTTTATTTTTATAGTATAAATAATATAGTAATATTGACGTTATATTATAATCTAATATAATTTAATTTATGTGATGGTAATAGTATAAATTGCTCTTTTTTTTTTTTTCCAAAAATTACAATATTGTCAAATTGTAGTTTGATCGTAATCGAAATCTTGTGATAATTTTTTTTAAGTTGTAAATGAATAATCAAAAGAATTGCCTGTTGAGGAAAAATAATATAATTTGTTCCGAGAATCAAAAAAAACTCATTAATAATATGTGAGAGATTTTTTGGTGAAAAATAAAAATAGATTATTCATGTATAATTATTTACCTGATTAAAAGGAAAAAGTTACCAGAGAAAATAAATGAAACCGTAAATCAAAATAATATTCGGGCCAATGAAGATGAATAAAAAAAAAAGAGAGGAAAATAAATAGGGTTTGAATAAGCGATCTAACCCTAAGCGAACCCCAAAAATTTTTTCTCCAAATCAAAATTTTCAAAAAAAAGACCATAGAACTTTGAAATCGCACCAAATGACAGATTTTTTGACTTTTTGCGTGTAAAAATAAAAAAAGGAAGGTTTGAGATATAAATGCTCCTTTGATAATCTGATTACACCGAAAGAAAGGGAGTAGAGGAAAAACGCGAGGGAAACGTCCTTTTGTATTTTTTTTTGGAAAAGGGTAGAAAATAACATAGATTAAAAAAAGTATAAAAAAAAACCTAGCAAATAAAACTGAGATATGATGATGGTAGATTCGTTTGATAAGAAGAAATGCAAATATAAAAGGAAATGATTAAATCACTGGCCAACTGTGAGTTAATCAGGTTTTAAACCGGTATCGTGATATAAATTTACAATAGGATTTGATACAAAATATGTGGTTTTTTTACCAGGGACCTTATATATGGGGGACCCACTTGATCGACCGATAATTTAAATACAAGTGAAAAGTCATCATGATATAATGTTGTTTTCTGTATATGGAAGTGATACAAAAAAATTATTACATTACACCCAATCTATCACAAGAGGAGGATCCGGTCCTTTGTCTCACTTGATAAAAACGAGGGGACCTCCATGGCATAATGAACTCATTTATAGGTGTGCTTTGGTCTACAAGAAAATGTTCATTTAAATTAATTAATAAATAATAATTCATATCCACATCCCAAGAATGCCTCTTGAAAATATTATGACAAATACGTCAATATTTTTTTATTTTACGGGAAATTCCTCATCGATATTTACAAAAATATCATACAAGGTGGTCATGATGCGCCGTTAAAATATAATATACATACATCATGCGAGCAAAAAACCTGTAATCCTCATCATGATGCTTGCCCTTTTTAAATCAGCTTTTTTACTTGTTCAACGTAAAGAAATCAGAAAGAACTCGAAAGAATTCTCTGAGAAAAAAACGAATAATTCTCTTGATTTTCATGTTAGTCTAGACTCTGCTAACTCAGGTCCAAAAGATAAAATGTCATAAAGCTTTATATGATGCGTGGATGACGATTGATTTGCGTTAATAAGATAAGCTATGCAAACAATCCAACGAGAATAAGAAAAGCTCAATGACGCCTTTTTAAAAAAAAAAATTAAGTTTATGCAAGTTGTGTATGCAGAGATAATGTAATAGAAATTTTTTTTTTTTGAGTTTTCTTGCTTTATCAACCAATAGTACATCAATAACATGATGGTGAGAAAGATGCTGTGATTAAATTATTTATATTTTTGTTATTATTTTTTTTTTTTTTCCTGAAATCCTTTTTTACCTTATCCAAAGAATCAATTCGACGAAAGGGAGGGTGACTCAATAATGAATAATCATGAAACAATATCAAAATTAAAAATTGTTATCCCTCCGATTTTTTGTTAGAAAATTTTTTTATCGAAATCTGCTTGAATTGTAAATTGTACTACTGTGATGAATGAGCTACCATAAACAAACATTATTACATCATGAAATGTAACTGTGCGATATAAATTTTTTTTTCACTTTTTTTCTCGAAATCAGATTTTTATTCTAAAGCTAAATAAATATTTATTTACATTATGGAAAATCAACTCTAAATTAAATAAATACCAACGAAAGAGACATTACGATATACTAAAATCGTGCACAAACCCACTCGTGCGACCCCGCTGTGCGACAAAACAAATTAGTAACCCAGTCACAAAAGTTAGACCCGGAATAATTCACATCAAATTACGTTTGTTGTATTTTTTGAGAGGAGAACTAACGATCAAAAAATGATCTCGTCAATTCTTGTCGAAAGCGAGGAAATCCTTGAGAAAAATAAAGGTAGTCACCGCATGAGATGCCATAAGGCAATGATAGCATGAATGAAATCATTATGTCCTTAAAAGGTTAAAGAAAAGAAGTCTGAAAAAGGTTAGAATTCGCCTAAAAGGTGATGGCACCTCCCGAACCCTCAAGTCCCCAGACTGAACACAACATCAAAGAATCTTCCACGAATAAATGAAAGAATTTATGTATTGTTTATTAAATCAATTAACAAGGGCGTAGAACTTTTTAAATGATTAGCGAAGAACAAAAAAAACTGAGATCTTTTTTGATTTAAAAAATAAATAAGAGAGATAAGAAGAGGCACATGAACAAATTGTGCTTCACTGATGATAAATTCCAACAAATGATAACTAACATTTATGTAGGTGATCAATCGTTTACAAACAATAATAACTTATAAAATAAAAAATGAATTGGTCATACATTACTAATAGTCAACAAAAATATGGTATTCAAAATTAAGAATTGAGACGAGCGTTATTGACATTAGTGCGTCATAAAACGCTTATTGTTTTGTTATTGTGCGACACTATTAAGAGTTTTCGGACCATGCTCATTTAGGATAACGCCGTTATTAGTTTTTTTAAAAAAAAAAAAATATGCGAAATCGTTCAAGTGAACAATTGAAACAACATGTTGTTACATTGTCATTTGCAAATCATAATATTTTCACGCTTTTGCGCTCATTTTTTTTTTTTACTCTCATCTTTTTTTTTCTTCTCTCATCTTTTTTTTTTTTTCCAAGACAAATAAATCACACAATGGGAAAATTTTATGACCGCCATTTCAAATGGCTTATCGAGTTGTAAATGGCTTCATACTTGTTATTTGATTTAGACGTCAATATTTCTAAATCTCGACGCGAGGTTTGACTTAATCATACGCGTATATGAGAACTTAGCCAATTTAAGCATAAGTCAATAAAACTAATAAGTTTTCAACTTTATTTGGCGTTAATCATATCTATATCTGAAAAACGTGAGATAAGATTTTGTCAAGAGGGCGTTTATGTATACGTTATTATGGTGGGAATATCATAAATAAAAAAAAAGATTCATTATGTCATAATTGTTCCCACATTTTCCTGTTTGTTAACCTTTTTTTTTTACTTAATACTTCATTGTTTTTTTGACTGAACCAAAATTGGCCCCTGCGATAATGTTTATTATCAAAATTAGGGTTAGTGGATTCTTTGTCAACTTCTGCGCCGCATGTTCTTTGAGTTCCCTTTAAATCATTCCCAACGCACTTTGACAAAAGTTACCAGTAGGTCGGTTTAAATTTAAACCATCATGACATGTTAATAAATAATATTCAACAATTGGAATTTTTTTTTTTTACCAGCCATTTCCCGACCTTTTTGATTTTATGCACCTTTCATATGCTAATGTCCCTTTGGCTCATGCCACACGAGAGAAAATAATTTGAAAAGGTGTCAAAATTCGATCTAACAATCATTTGTTAGAACAAAGGAATAGATCATAAGATAAATAACCATACATTACTTCCCATTTAGCAGCTGTATATTCGGTAAACATCTGTCTACTCCGAACTCCAATCAGGTTTTTTTTTGTTTTTAGAAAATGGATAATATGAACAAAACCTCTCATTTTTTTAACCTATTGT